GTGAGGGGAGTGAGTAGAAAGATGTCATTATTAGTCACTCAGTCCAGCCCAGGTGCCTTCAATGTACCAGATAAAGTTCTCGTCTTAGATCACTGCTCTGAGAGTTACAATTTGTCCTTTTTCATCCCTCATGCAACTACCTACGATACCTGAACTCTCTTCCTGTGCTAGGGAAATTCCACCAGAGTCTGGGTAGGAGGCAGACTACTGAGTGTGTGTGTGTGTGTGTGTGTGTGTGTAGAGAGAGAGAGAGAGTGAGAGAAAGGGAGAAAACTCACTTTCCCCCACACTAATGCAGGTGGACACGGCAAGAGGCTTTGGCTCCCCAAGTCTGATGACCACACGTCAGCCCTGACACATGCGTGGTGACACAGAGATGGGGGACCATGCAGATACATTTTGGCACAGATGCTGTGTCAGTAGTGACCCTGTTCCCAGGAGCAGTGGGGACAGCATCGCAGCTGCAAGGTGCAGCGTCCAGCACCAGTGTCATGGTGAGAGCAGTGACGCTGTTCCCTGTGACATTGTTCCGGGACATTTGTTCCTACCTGGAAACTGAGCTAGGGCAGATCGTGATTCAGTTCCAGACTGTGTCACTTCAAGGCTGCTCTGTGCCTTCCCAAATAAAATGAGCCCTAAAACTACATCTAAATTCCTTAATACTAGAATTAGGGTAACTTACATTCTACCGATTGCTTCAAAAGTGAGTGAAAACTCTGTCTGGGAGTGGTTTCAGAACCAGCATTCAGAGATTTCTCATCGTGCTGAGCTGAGAGCCCCGTCCTAAATCTTCCATCGGGGTATAACTAATGACATAGACAATCACAATGACCTCTGAACATCATGTCTCATTATTGCTGAATTACCTTTTCCCTTTTCTGGTCAGGGTGAGGGACCAAATATTTAACTGTGGATTTAAGGGCCAGGTGGTGGCACAGTGAGACATAGTACGTCACATAGGAAAGGTCCTGGGTGCACATCGGGGCCTTCCTGAGCATGCTGGGCACATGCAGAGCCATGACCTGGCCAGCTGGAAGTGCAGGGGGATCACGGTCTGAGAGCCCAGCTCTGGGTGCCTCTCTCTTTATCTCTCTCTCTCTCTCCATCTCTTCCTATTGCAACTAAGTAAATAAATAAACTTTTAAAAAAGAAAACAACTATGCCACAGGGCTGTGTTCACTGCAGAGATAGAGAAAGTGAAAGGGCACTCCCCAAGGCTGGCCGTGCCGCAATGCCTTCTCCTCCATTCTTCTCTGAGGGTGTTGGGTACATATGCACATGTGCCAATCGGAAACCGCAGCCAGCTGTGAGGGATCCAGCTGCCTTAACCACCATGCCACTTGCTGGCCCCAGACTATTTATAAAAAATGTGAGTTAAGCCCCTTCCTGACTCTGGATGCTCTGATCTCCGACCTCAGTGGTTCCATCTCCAGCTGAGCACCAAGAATGCTGGTGGGCTTGTCACTCAGGCCTCTCCACAGACACCCAGTGTCGGCATGTGGAGCGCTGAGTCCACAGATTGCTTATCTCACGGAGAGCCTGAGGCCCGATCTAGGACGTGGTCGACCTTCTTGCTGCTCACAGTGCGATCTGAGCACCAACAGCATCTGCACCAACAGGAACCTGGTTATAAATACGGAACCTCGTGGTTCACTTAGACCAGCTGAGGCTGGAGGCAAAGCCCAGGGATTCCTGGTGCACAGGACAGTGTGGGGCTCCCAGGTCTACGTGCCTGCCAGACACGGTGCGTAACTGCAGTCTACTCTGGGAGTGTGCCCTGCCCAGGGCTCATCCCTGTTCTTTCTCTTCTACAGCAAATCACTCACATGGGGCCCTCAAGAGTTCTCACTGTGTGATGTCAGCTCAGAAATCTGCTTCTCCAGTCCAGACATTTCACCTAAACTCCAGACTAATCTGTATGACTGCACCCCCAACTCCCTCTCTGCATTTCTAATGGCCCTTCAGCATGCGCATTCGTACCCTGGACACTGATCCTGCTCCTCAGATGTGCTCTCGCCAGAGTCCTCCCCCTTCACTCACGCCCCTCCATCTCCAGTTCCGGTGTCCTCCCTGACGCCTACTCCTCACACCTGGGTTTGGTCTCCTAGGAAATGCTGTGACTCCCCCTCAGAACCTGTCCAGAACCCAGTCGTCCCTGCTGTGCCCACTGCTCACCCCCAGATGCCCGGATGAAGCAGCAGCGTCTGGCCTGGACCCCGCACTGTCCCTCACAGCTCCCCCCCCCCACTCCCCCCTCTCCCCCTCTGACCTCCCCTCACCTGCTCTGCTCCAGACACGCCACAGTCCTTGTCCCTCCCAGAGCACAGACAGGATCCTGTCCCTCACATTTGCCCTGGAGGTTCCTCTGCCTGGCGAGGACGTGCCCAGATATCCTGTGTCCTTGGAATCTTTCCCCAGAGGTCACTTGCCAGTGAGGCCCATGCTGACCCCCCCAGTAAACAGCCCCTTCCTTGTCCCCACGCCCACACTCTGGGTCACCTTCCCGACAGCACCCACCCCTGCCAGCACCCACACTCTCCGTGTTCACTCTGCCCACAGAGCAGTCTCTGTCTCTCAAGAACACGGGCTCCACAGGGTGGGGAGTTCTGGGCTGTTCTTAGTTCATGGAGTAACATGGATGCAAAAACAGTGGCCGACAGCCAGTGCTCAGCAGGTCCGAGCTGAGTGGGGGGCACTGCAGAGCTCCTCCCTGTTCTAAGGCAGCGTCTTTACTGATGTGACCTCAGAGCGAATGCTGCTGTGGCAGTGTCACCACGTCCTGTCACCTGAGGTCAGCATGCCTGTGCTCACTCAGTGCTGCCCTCCCTCCCTCCTGTCCCAACCTGCTGCACAGGACACATGCATCTCTCTCTTTTTTTTTCTTTTTAACAGAAGGATCCTTGACTTGTGGGTCTAATCTAAGAACAAGAGCAGATTAATTCTAAGAAATTTATTTAAAACAAGCAATTATGAGAGCCTTCTTCCCTGCAAATTCCAGAACATGAACTTAGAACGTGATGTGGAAATCGCAAAGAGAACCCGGGAACAGCCCTAGAAGGGCAAGAGCAGGACGAGTCTGAAAACCCATCTCTCGGTACCACAGACCCTGTGAGCTGGGGCTACCTGGGCCTTATGGGGGACAGGGACAGGAAAGTGACTCCTGCTGCTGTCAGA